TAAGTATACAGTAAAACCAAGTATCTCACTGGTAAGTATACAGTAAAACCAAGTATTTCACTGGTAAGTATACAGTAAAACCAAGTATCTCACTGGTAAGTATACAGTAAAACCAAGTATTTCACTGGTAAATATACAGTAAAACCAAGTATCTCACTGGTAAACATACAGTAAAACCAAGTATCTCACTGGTAAGCATACAGTAAAACCAAGTATCTCACTGGTAAGCATACAGTAAAACCAAGTTTCTTACTGGTAAGCATACAGTAAAACCAAGTATCTCACTGGTAAGCATACAGTAAAACCAAGTATCTCACTGGTAAGTATACAGTAAAACCAAGTATCTCACTGGTAAACATACAGTAAAACCAAGTATCTCACTGGTACGTATACAGTTAAACCAAGTATCTCACTGGTAAGTATACAGTAAAACCAAGTATCTCACTGGTAAGCATACAGTAAAACCAAGTTTCTTACTGGTAAGCATACAGTAAAACCAAGTATCTCACTGGTAAACATACAGTAAAACCAAGTATCTCACTGGTAAGTATACAGTAAAACCAAGTATCTCACATGTAAGTATACAGTAAAACCAAGTTTCTTACTGGTAAGTATACAGTAAAACCAAGTATCTCACTTGTAAGCATACAGTAAAACCAAGTATCTCACTGGTAACCATACAGTAAAACCAAGTATCTTACTGGTAAGTATACAGTAAAACCAAGTATCTCACTGGTAAGTATACAGTAAAACCAAGTATCTCACTGGTAAGTATACAGTAAAACCAAGTATCTTACCGGTAAGCATAAAGTAAAACCAAGTATCTCACTAGGTAAATATACAGTAAAACCAAGTATCTCACTGGTAAGTATACAGTAAAATCAAGTATCTTACTGGTAAGCATAAAGTAAAACCAAGTATCTCACTGGTAAGTATACAGTAAAACCAAGTTTTCTCACTGGTAAGCATACAGTAAAACCAAGTTTCTTACTGGTAAACATAAAGTAAAACCAAGTATCTCACTGGTAAACATACAGTAAAACCAAGTATCTCACTGGTAAGTATACAGTAAAACCAAGTATCTCACTGGTAAGTATACAGTAAAACCAAGTATCTTACTGGTAAGCATACAGTAAAACCAAGTATCTCACTGGTAAGTATACAGTAAAACCAAGTATCTCACTGGTAAACATACAGTAAAACCAAGTATGTCACTGGTAAGTATACAGTAAAACCAAGTATCCTACTGGTAAACATGAAGTAAAACCAAGTATCTCACTGGTAAGCATAAAGTAAAACCAAGTTTCTCACTTGTAAGTATACAGTAAAACCAAGTATCTCACCGGTAAGTATACAGTAAAACCAATTTTCTCACTGGTAAGCATACAGTAAAACCAAGTATCTCACTGGTAAGCATAACCAAGTATCTCACTGGTAAGCATAAAGTTAAACCAAGTATCTTACTGGTAAGCATACAGTAAAACCAAGTATCTCACTGGTAAGCATACAGTTAAACCAAGTACCGGTATCTCACTTGAAATCATAGAGTAAAACCAAGTATCTCACTTGTAGTAATAGAATAAAACCCAGTATCTCACTGTTAAGTATTTACTAAAACCAATTATCTCTCTGGTAAACGAGTTAAACAAAGTCTCGCACTGGTTAGCATACAGAAAAACCCCAGTAATTCACTGGCAAGCATAGAGTAAAACCAAGTATCTTACTGGTAAGCATAAAGTAAAACCAAGTATCTCACTGGTAAGTATACAGTAAACCAAGTTTGTCACTGGTAAACATATAGTAAAACCAAGTATCTCACAGTTAAGTATACAGTAAAACCAAGAATCTCACTGGTAAGTATACAGTAAAACAAAGTATCTCACTTGTAAGTAATCAGTAAAACCAAGTATCTCACTGGTAAGTATTCAGTAAAACCAAGTATCTTACTGGTAAGTATACAGTAAAACCAAGTATCTTACTGGTAAGTATACAGTAAAACCAAGTATCTCACTGGTAAGTATACAGTAAAACCAAGTATCTCACTGGTAAGTATACAGTAAAACCAAGTATCTCACTGGTAAGTATACAGTTAAACCAAGTACCGGTATCTCACTTGAAATCATGGAGTAAAACCAAGTATCTCACTTGTAGTAATAGAATAAAACCCAGTATCTCACTGTTAAGTATTTACTAAAACCAATTATCTCTCTGGTAAACGAGTTAAACAAAGTCTCGCACTGGTTAGCATACAGAAAACCCCCAGTAATTCACTGGTAAGCATAGAGTAAACCCAATAACTTACATAGTAAAGAGAGAGTAAAACCCAGTATCATTCTGTTAAGCGTAGAGTAAAACCCAGTATTGGTAGGATGACAATCAAGCCATTCAGAAACTTGAACCTGGACCCATTTTTAACATGGGTTGTCATATACCAAAATGTTCCAATATATTCGTAGTGTCCAAAAATGCCGGCATAAATTGGCATAAATGGTGGCGAACAGAGAAATCCAAGATAGTGTAAAAATATGAAAATTACAACTTAGTCACTTTTACTTGACCAGATACATTTGTTCTTTAAATGTATTTTTGATCAAATACATTTCACACATATAAATTTAGTATCAACTTAATGTAAAATTGTCTTTTAACAGGCACAGGCTGAAAATTATTGGGAAAACTAACAAACTCATGGTAATATTTAAAGTTGTCCGAACATTTTTCCATATAATAATACAATTAACAAATCAAATGATTTACTTTGGTTTTAATTACAAGAAACCACCCTCTACATAAGAAATGTGCTATTGATTTTTTCATGTTTTTTTTTTTTTTTTTCGATTTTTTTTTTGAGAAAGTAGGTATTTTTAAGTTGCTGGGGTAAAATAATCATTTAATCAAAATCACAAATTTATTGTAAGTAACAATATTTGTATCCACTTAAATTGTTATTATTTTATATAAACTACTTGAAAAACTTTAACAAAGTTCAGTAACTTTTGGATAGAGTATGCAAGATTTTTAATAGTTTTAAAGGGAATAAAGCACTATAAGTTGAAAATAGTGTTGCAATTCAACCTTATAAGTTGATGCCTAAATAATTTATTCGTTTATCAAAGTTTAAACAATTCTATAATATATTTCTTGCATATTTCATCTGTAAATATGAAAACTTATTCAAACATGTACACTTTCATTGATGAGTTTCTACATATATTTACCGACCTGTCTTAGCATAGATTAAAACCCAGCATAACACTGGTTAGGATAGGCTTAAATAAATTATCTTTCTGGTACACATAGAGTAAAACCAAGATTCTTCCTGGTAAGTATAGAGTTAAACTTTATATTTCATTCATCTTTCTCACTTTTTACAAAAATATTTTTAACTAAAAAGTCAAGAAAAAATAGAACGTTTTAGATACTTATTTAAGAATATTCAGTGACCTTGTTTATAATGAATTATGGTTAATGATCTATCGCTAAACATTATTGAAATCATTACTTCAAGTATTTAAAAAAGAGATAAAAAATATTTTCACTTAAAATAAGCGTAAATGGGGTTAAGGTATTAAGTTACTAGATATTATATGATCCACGACGGCTTTACTTATAACCTATTCATAAAACTGATTGAGCGTATTGATTTCATTTTATTGCAAAAATCGTGGTAACTTTCAAATTAAAAGCATTTTTAATTGTAAATTTCACATAAATGAGGTCATATCAAATAATCTTATAGGTTAATATAGAGATTTAAGATAATAAAAGGACGAGGTGAGTTATCAACTTTTTTTTCATGTAATGTCATGATAATCTTAACATTTAAAAAAATAATAATAATAAAAAAAAACAACAAAAAAAACCCAAAAAAACAAATACAATGCAAACTGACAGAAAGTACTAGTTTGCTACAGTTTCTAGCCACAAATGTTTTATATAGTTAATTACAAAATCATAGAATCAGAAAATTCTTTTTACAAATTCTGTTTTATGAATTTCCGGCTTAAGTTTTAGGACTCCGCGATTTCCACATCATGAATTTACAACGCAGAACTCGTGAAATTAAAATCGAGAAATTATGAAATTGAATCTGTGAAGTTGAAATCATGACTTTTTGATGTTGAAGTTGAAATAGAAACAAATCATGAATATGTGAAGTTTAATTGATAAAGTTAAATATATACATGGCTTATCTTTGGGTAAATGCCGTTTTTGCAGAAATGTATTGAACTCTAGGAAATTCTTACCGTATATAATTATGTAATTTGGATTAAAGAATGCACAGACGATGTTTAGAAAACCGCATTCGCTCTTTCTAGTCAAGTTATCAAGTTAATGTGGTCTTTTCTTTCTTTAAAAAGAAAATCTGCAAGTTATTTTAATGACACAATCACTTGTCACACAATCTGTCTTCCAGCTGTCTAGAACGTCTAATTAAGACTGAAATATAAAGAGAAATTGCTGTTTCGTTTTCACATATCTGTTCGACATACAAATTGAATTAACTAATTTTTGTCCGTATAAGAATTGCAAACGACACCAATCAAAACTGTATCCTATCCTACAAGATGTAAACAATCGGAACGAAAAAGGCATGTTTTGTTTTCTTTTAGCGTTTGTAACACGAAGCGGGCCACATTTTTTATGAAGTTTTGTGGATACGACGCAGTTCATATTGCATTATCAGTCGTTTTTTTCCCATTCAAATCAATATAATCGTTTCAGAGTCAACCTTCAGCTTCAAAATATAATTTTACATCATTTACTAAAATTTCATTAAAAAAATGTTTATTTTGAAAGAAAATAATGATTGTACGAAATGATACGACGCAGTCCAGTCCTGACCATGCCGCTTCGGTAGGTTGTGATCAAGAGCTTTTTTGATGACAGTATTTGTATTTTATGTTTCGTTTTTAATTTTTTTTAACTTAAGTCAAGCAGAAATAAATGCGGAAGAAAATGTTATGTTTTCACGTGGATCATGACGTTTGTGATCAATACCGTTGTTATATAGCTGTTGTCAAAACAAAACGGTTCGTTACTTTTATACGCCGTGAAACAACTTGGAATACAGATTGTATAAGAGGTATATTTTAAAATTATTATTTTCGTTGTGATTATATTAAATCAATCGGCCATTATTGATACAACTAAAATTCCAAAGCTTGACAGTTCATTAAGTTATGTCAGATATAAATATCATAAATTTAGACACACATACAAAAATTAGTGTGTGGCGAATTGCCTTGTATTGTCCAACAACATTGACCTGGCACGCTTGCATTGACCCCATAGTCGATAAATTCCGTAAACATTACGATCTAACTTGTAAATCGATATGAATTTATATAACCGGTTGTTAAATGGTCTAAATTAAAAATCCCTCTTAGCACAGTCGGTAAAGGTCTCTCACTTTAAGATTATAGATGTAAAGTCGTAGGTTCGAATCCTGGTTCAGCCACTTTTATTTCTTTCCTTTTGAAATTGCCATTTCTCTCTTAACTCGTGCAAAACGTTTTGATTTTTGTTGTGTATTCTCTCTGTGTAGTATTTTAATTTGTATTATGACAGCGCTTTCCTTTTAATTAATTAAAGATAATGTAATGAAATAAAACATATAACTGTATAAATAACCACTACTTAAAAGGTATCCTAAAAACCAGCTGTAGTAAAACGATTTCAAATTAATTCTTGCAAGTAAATTCCAAAATAAAATAAAAAATGCGTGTCTTCATAACGAGGTATTGGTTAGGTATCGAACCAGAGACCTTCAGGTCAGTAGTCTAGCATCTATACCAATACACCACAACTCATTGACGTGTGAAGTTAACAATGATATCGATATATTCGTTAGATACCACTGTTTTATTACCTGACCTTTACGGAAATTAATGAAGTGCCAGGTCAATATTGCTGGACAATATCGAAAACGAAAGTACAAGACGGTCATATCAACAATGCATGACAATCCAGTACGAGACGCATACAAGGGAAATAACCATGTCAATTATTATGTAAACAATATTCAAGATTTGTTAACCTTTAGTTATTATGTTTAAAATAAATGGAGATACCCATTATGGCCTCAGGAGAAAAATTAAAACAAGGTATTTGGTTGATAATATCCACTATCACCCTAACAATCATGTACTACTTATCTTTTCTCACAACATATTTATATCAGTGTTATGTGTCCCGGGTGATATAAGAAATATTTCCTGGCCTTAAATGGGGGTGATACTTAATCATGAAATCATATAAGGAGGTAAAATTAGACAAAATATTTATCAAATACTCAAAATATACCAAGAGGGTTTGATCCCTGTTTGCATACTTTGCTGTTTTAATCCCTATTAAAATATAAAGATATATTACACATTCTTTTTCAAACTCTAGTATAGATTACAATAAAGAAGTTTTGATATCTTCGCCATTTTATGGTAATTAGATAAAAAAAAAAACAACCCACTAAACTCACATATCTTGGATATTGCATTCAGGTTGCACCCCTGAGAATTTTAGTCGTATTTACAATATTTCAATTTTATACAGCGTCCCGTTAAGTCGAACATACAATCGTGAAAGTCGAAAATATGGTTATTAAAAAAACTGGAAATAAAGAAACAACGAAACCATGGTTGTGAAAAGTCGAAAGGACGATGTTAAAAACAAGAAATTGTATACAGTTTTCAGTTAGTTTGACTGAAGTAGCTTTGTTGAACCATTAAACATCTAGAATTTGTATTTCTATTGCGGGCGCCAGGCGAAAACACAAAAATACGACAAAGACACTAATACAAAATTTTCGTGTTTTCATACTTTCCTCCGCTGCCCGACAGGCGAAAATACGACTTTTGCCCCGCGGAGCGAAAGTTGGACAAATGTTGAGTTTATCGTGTTTACGACCGGCGCCCCGCGGAACGAAAATACGAGATGGTTATGTAATGAAAGAAATGATATTGACATAAGTTACATCTCATAATTATTTGACACTAGTATATTATTAAGCGCCAAATAGGACTGGTAATAAACCAATTTACAATATACATGTTTATCGCACGATTCATGAGGTATACTATTAATTATTTCAATACAAACCAAATATGAAGCTCTTTATAATGTATAATCATAAACCATGTTGAATATAAATTGCAAAGGTTTTAAATCTTAAATAACTTAAAAGGTGAATTGTTTGTACCTATTTCAATTAGTGGCTTCAGCAGCTTTGAGATATTGAATGAATGGGGTAAATTATGTTCTTCCTTAAACGAAACTTATCATGTAAAGTAAATATTAAAATGTCGCAAATTAACTTTAAGACGATTATTTAACATGTATAAGAAATAATAGTATTGTTTAACTCTGTATGTAGAAATTATGAAAACATATACATTATTTTATCGCTGTAGAAATCTCATTCTGTTTTTATATTTGATATGTTTAGCAACAATGATGCGACTAGAAATTTAGAGTGACAGGCATTTTTGAGATTAGATGTCTTCAAAACAGTCTTATTATAATTATATCCCTGTACATTCAAATTTCAAATAATGCGAAACGAGTTATTCACGATTTTTGTACATACCGAATCATAATGGGTTACACTATAATATATTTCTTTCAGAATAATTATAAAGAAATAGATTTAAAATGCATTTTTTTTATTTACAGACAACATGTCAACACAGGCTGTTAAAGAATTATCTGTAGCCACACACACTGCTATGGATTTTCTTGGTTACTCTAAGGAAATGATAAAATCGAGAGCTGAGATAGTAAAGCATTTGTATTCAATATTTAGTAACAAGTTACAAAATTTGATTCCATGGCTTCACTTCGACAGTATGATCGCCGGGAGTATAGGAGACGGGATTGCAAAACTTTGTGAAAGTGACATTGATTTCATTCTAGTATTTCGCAATTTCCTTTGTTTGGACAATGCTCAGGTAGAAAGTAAACTTTGTATAATTCAAACGATCACAGAGGATTCTCCGCCGGGTTATACAAAACTCAATCCTTTAAAAATGAATTCTAATATTATTGCAAAGTTTTTGTTTGATTTCACCACTGAATATGACTTATGCAGTGGTCAAGTGTTTCTTGAAAGCACAAGCATGCGTAATTTATTTGAAAAATGTATAAACACAAGAAGTTCAAATATTGCGTATGATGGCACATACAGAGAATTTCGGAAACAACAAGGACCGTCCGTTCCTTCAACTCTACATGTTAGAATACCTTTGATGCCGCATATAAATATGTCATGTGATACTGATTTTGTGACAGCACTGCCTTATATATCATCGTCAGTATTAGATCTTGGAGCAAACGTGACAGATATTGGCCGCCGCAGTCTGTTTGTCAAGACATTATTGAGACAGAGGCTTACGTTGTTCCAGTTGGCGCTACTTGCAGCGAAAATCAGAATTACGAATGGAGAATTTCTTTTACAACTGCCGAAAGTATTCTTGTTTCTCATCTCCATCCGGCGCTATTAAAAGTTTACATTTTATTTAAAATGGTTAACAAGTATTTGATTAAACCAAATTGTGATATTCTAAGTTCCTACATAATAAAGAATGTTGTTTTCTGGGTGTCAGAACGTATTGATACAAGAACGTGTTATTCTCCTGAAAGATTCATAGACTTTCTGCTGCAAGCGCTTTCTTTTCTACTAAACTGTTTACATTCTAAATGTCTTCCTAACTATATGATGCAAGAGAGAAATCTTCTCCTTGGGAAAGGAAAACCATGTGATATTACAAAGCTCAAATGTATCATATCAAATCTATTGGACACGGGTGGCTTTTTCATTATCAGGATAGAGAAACTTAGAGTAAAAATATTGTCCGTTGGAAACTGTTTTACAGATGCTAGACGATTTTCTGAAATTAGAGACAAATTCGAGATAATGCTTTTGCGAATGTATATCGACATGACTACAAAGCTTGCCCCTGAAAAAGCATTTCAGTCATCATTCATCCATGATGCTATGTTTGAAATGTTCAAAGATCCTTTGCTCTTAGATTTTTTGTTTACATTGATGAATTTTCTGAATCTAGACATAATATCTTCAATTACTAACCCACAACAAATTTGGAAAGCTATCAACGATTTTTTGTTTCCATAAAAAGTTTTTCAAGAAACAAAGGAAACAGGAAATCATTTCCAACTGTTAAAGAGATCAGATTGCTGTAAACATAAAAAATGGAAAATAAATGTTTTATAATTGCAGACTCTAACATAAAAATAATGAAATATACAACAATGAATCGAGTATTGTTTGATGGACAGCTTTACATCAGTTTCGCCGAACAATGTGCTGTCATTGGCCATTGTATTGCAGTAATGTTAACACATAACTACAATTTTATTATGCCCCCACTTCGAAGAAGAGGGGGTATATTGCTTTGCACTTGTCGGTCCGTCGGTCCGTTGGTCCGTAGACCAAATGGTTTCCGAGTGATAACTTAAGAACTCTTAGGCCTAGGAACTTCAAACTTGGTATGGTGATTGGTCATGACAAGTAGATGACCCCTATTGATTTTGGGGTCAAGGGGTCAAAGGTCAAGGTCAAATTGACCTTGTAAGCAAAAACGGTTTCCGATAAAAAACTTAAGAACCTTAAGGCCTAGGAACTTCAAACTTGGTATGTTGATTGGTCATGATCAGTAGATGACCCCTATTGATTTTGGGGTCAAGGGGTCAAAGGTCAAGGTCACATTGACCTCTTGGGTAAAAACGGTTTCCGATCAATAACTAAAGAACCCTTAGGCCTAGGAACTTCAAACTTGGTATGGTGATTGGTTATGACCAGCAGATGACCCCTATTAATTTTGGGGTTAAGGGGTCAAAGGTCAAGGTCACATTGACCTTGTAGGTAAAAACTGTTTCCGATCAATAACTAAAGAACGCTTAGGCCTAGGGACTTCAAACTTGGTATGGTGATTGGTCATGATCAGTAAATGACCCCTATTGATTTTGGGGTCAAGGGGTCAAAGGTCAAGGTCACATTGACCTCTTGGGTTAAAACGGTTTCCGATCAATAACTAAAGAACCCTTAGGCCTAGGAACTTCAAACTTGGTATGGTGATTGGTCATGACCAGCAGATGACCCCTATTGATTTTGGGGTTAAGGGGTCAAAGGTCAAGGTCACATTGACCTTGTAGGTAAAAACGGTTTCCGATCAATAACTAAAGAACCCTTAGGCCTAGGAACTTCAAACTTGGTATGGTGATTGGTCATGACCAGCAGATGACCTATTGGTTTTTGGGTCAAGGGGTCAAAGGTCAAGGTCACATTGACCTTGTAGGTAAAAACGGTTTCCGATCAATTAACTAAAAACTCTTAGGCCTAGGAACTTAACTGCAAACTTTGAATGATGATTGGTCGTGACCAGCAGATGACCCCTCTTGAGTTTTGGGTCAAGGTGCCAAAGGTCAAAGTCACATTGACTTTGTAAGTAAAAACGGTTTCTGATCAATAACTAAAGAACGCTTAGGCCTAGGAACTTCAAACTTGGTATGGTGATTGGTCATGACCAGCAGATGACCCCTATTGATTTTGGGGTCAAGGGGTCAAAGGTCAAGGTCACATTGACCTTGTAAGTAAAAACGGTTTCTGATCAATAACTAAAGAACGCTTAGGCCTAGAATCTTCAAACTTGGTATGATGATTGGTAATTGCCAGCAGATGACCCCTAACGATTTTGGGGTCAAGGGGTCCAAGGTCAAGGTCACATTGACCTTGTAGGTAAAAATGGTTTCCGATCAATAACTAAAGAACGCTTAGGCCTAGGAACTTCAAACTTTGATGATTGGTCATGACCACTAGATGACCCCTATTGATTTTGGGGTCAAGGGGTCAATGTCATATTGACCTTGTACTTAATGACGGTTTCTGACCAATAACTCAACAACTCAAGTTGCCTTAGTTGATATTTTTATATTAAACTAAAAATGCTTTTGGTATACACATTGGAAGGTCTTATGTAATATAACAACTTGGCTGTCATTAATGAGGCCTACATTATTCATAAAATTGATGCATATATTATTTGGTAAGATTTGTAATAACTTAAATTGCTGCACACAACCTATTGGGTCACAATAATTATTACCTTGTGACTAGTCATGACCAGTAGATACTAGATAACCCTTATTAATTGTTTGTTCACTGGGTCAGAAGTCATGCATACTAACCTGATCACATGACTAATTGGCTGCCGATAGGGGGCATACATGTTTTACAAACATATCTTGTTCTAATTTGAAGAGCTGACATTTTATCAAATGTGACGTTCCGAAACGGTTTTGTTCCGAGTTATTTCCCAGATAATTCCATATTATAATGGCATTTTAAAGCACCTGTTTATTCTGACAATTGTAAATATATTGGTAATGATAAGAACTCTGATTCAAAATTCATTGTTTCCTTTTATTTCGTGGGATCTCCCCTTTTGCAGATTTATTACTCTTCACTATGAAAATATCGATCTCATTAATTTACTTTGTGCTCTTTTTTAAGATGACATGATAATGTTATCGATCATGAAAAACGTCATATACAGAAACATTTATGGAAAGTGCATAAAGAGACATTTATAATGCTATAAAAGATGATATGCCAATCGCAACTACTCGGCCCTTTCCGTCAGTCTTCGGATAAGGACCTCGAACACAATAGTAAGAATACACAGAAAGGATGCGGTATTCCGGTCTAACCTACGCTAAGAAACTAAACATGTTAACAAATAGTAATTTAATGCTGGGAGTTGTTGACAAGTTTATTTCCAATATATGTAGTTAAAGTCCACCTAAAATAAGTGAATTCATAGGTAAAAAAGCAAACAATACAATATTTATATATTTACTAATATGGATGTAGAAACCGAAAGTACAAAAAACTAACCTGTTGACATTTAGTTGGATTTGTTTAAAATTGAACATCAATGGGCATATTTAAATTACAAATTGTTGTCAGACATTTTTTCAACCAAAAGAGTACCGGAACAGACATTAGATGTCAAATATATACATTCGTTTTACATTATCTTTGTTTCTGTTTACATCTGTAAACCACGTGGTAGAACTACTTTCAATCCGTATTGTTTCCGAGGTTATTATAGATAATAGCTGAGGCAGTTCTGAATGGATGATATGCATAATAACTTGAATCACAAAAGAGTTGAGTAAAAACAAAAGGTTCGGAAATTTTGGTGGAGCAATACTCTCTCTAAAGTATGGGATTATTTGAGGTAAGCTAAAAACCATTTGCTCCAATGCTTGGAATTATCTATGAATAGTCGGCACATTAGGGAAAGCTGAAGGTGTCAAGTGCCGTGCGGCAGCTGTAAAAAGTTAGCCACGTACTTCACGTCAGAGATCTTATATCTTATTTCTCAATGGTAGGATACTACGTCATCGGGCACCTGCTGAATGCTCCCACTTGGACCATTTTTTCGTCGACTCAAAGGTAAAATACAATTTTATTACAGTCAACTATCGTTATCTCGACATCGCTTTTCTCGATATTTCGTTATCTCGATGAAATTTTGAAAGTCTCTATTTTCTTCCTTCTTTATCTTTATTGGAAATATTTGTTTATCTCGATATTTTTTTTCTCGATATTTTCAGTATCTCGATGTAAAATTTCAGCCCCAAAAGTTATTTAGTAAGAGTATTAAAAAATCATGTAGCGCATCAAATAATGGCTATAGTACTTTGGATAATTGTAAAAAAGTTTATAGATTCATTGCCTGGTTTAGGCCTGAAAACGGGATAAGTGTTTTTCTCTGAATACTCCCACTCGGACTTTTCCCGAAACATATAAGAAATAAAGTTGAAAACCTTCTTGAAAATCATTTTTAATGTACCGGAATATAAACCGAGTCATGTTTACACATTTTTCTAGATTTTGTTCAAATACTTCTATTCAAAAGTCATTTTTTTTAAAGTTTTTTTTAATAAAAATGGAAAATGCTCCCACTCGGACTCGATTTCAGAGATGCTCCCACTCGGACCCAAACATATACATTTTGAAAGCACATTGTTGTGTTAAGCTTTTATGGATTGTTCTCACATTTTTAACACCATTTTGTCAATAACTTCTTTGTAAGGCAACAGTAACTTTTCCTTTTTTTACAGAGATCACTTCTTTGATTCTGAAGAATGGCGTCGTTTGGCAGGAACAAGGTGCCATGGCAAAGTTTCAACTGACAGGATCACTTTACAAAAAGGTGCACTTGGCTTGTGTTGGATCCGAAGGGATGATTCAAAATTATTGCCAGCAACAAAGCTAGGACTATAAGACTTTTAATGGACAGTTTGGATCCCAAGAATAAAACTTTGTTTAGATGTTAAAAAATGGTGGTGTTTTATAAAGAAGTCATTATACATTGTTAAGTGACATACTGGATTAAGATTCTGTTGGACTCGTACACATATTAGAGTCCTGCATTAATTCAATAATTGATGACTTGAATATCTTGTTAATAATTTAAAACCCAATGATTTGCGTGTTTCTTAAACTTGTGATTTAGATTTTAAAACAACAAAATGGTACGTTAATGAACATAAAGAAGTCAATATATGTCGGTTGATTTGAATAGTTTATTAAAGAACAACATGTAAATCATTTTTGTCATGAACTGGTTAAAAAGTCAATGTACTGCCATGCCATGGCACAAAAAGCATGCATCACAATTATTAACAACTTTGACAATTTTAAGTAAGAAAGTTATCATGTGTACGTATTTTTACCTAAAATAACAAAATTGAATAAATAAGAAAATAAAGATCACAGTTACTTCTTTATTACAGTGTTTACCATATCTTGGTAATTAAAGATCTTGTAAGTCATATTTCAGGTTGTTACCAATTGAAATTTCATATATATGTATATAAAATTATGCTACTAAAAGAATTTTCAAACATTAAGGAATATGTAAAATACGTACTGCAAATGCTTGTCCATATTATATGTAATAATTAAAATATAAATGTATGCATTCATTTCTTAATTGAAGAATGCAACTTACACTTAAAAGAAAATATAATTCTAATTGCCTCCCTTAATGAAATGTAAATTCGGTATTATCTTTACAAATAATGCTTTTTGGAACAAAACAAACAATATTGATAAATCTTCATTTGAGCATTATATTTATGATATACAACCATAGAAAAAAACATGATTTCAGGATATTTGAATGACGTTAAAATAATAACTATCATACAAGAAGGAATCACATACAGTAAAATCCCCCACCGAAAAGGAGGGAAGTAACCCTTTTATACATGTAAAAATTATGACGCTCGTAAAAATTAATGAAAAGTTATAATCTAGACAAAAATCATGACAAAAATAACACTCCCATGAAAAAAACAAAGGAAAAACAACAAAGAAGCATTAAGTGAACACTCCTGGTCCTTATGCTCTGATATTCACTATTAAACATGTTCCATTTACAGTTTTAAGTTTATATCTCAAATAGCTTTAGAGGTATTGTCCTTGCAAACTAATAATAGTGAATACAAAAAGCAATAACTCCAAAACTGGAGAGTTGTCATTCTTGTTTGCGGTATTTAACTTTATTGAAATCTATCCTCCAATGAAGTTTCAGATGAATTGATTCTTTATTACACATTGTCCCAAGATTAACGCAAAAACTGAACAAAAGACATTTACTTCAAAGAACTATTATTCTTGTGTTTTCTAGAGTATTCCTCCTCACTGAGATATACCTAAAATATTTGCTCCAAGATGTCCTACCACGTGCTTCCTTACGTTGCAATGTGGTTTATGCCTTTTCCCAAACTGGTCACAAACACAAATACTTTCTGCAAAACAAAACATTATTATATTTTTAAAATGTATAATCAATTTGTTTCTTATTTCAGGGACTCTATTTAACGAGGAATTGTTTCAACAAAACCTTTTTTCTTATTCTTAGGCCGATAACTGATCCTCTAAGAAGACATATTTACGAGACTGTTATGATAAAAATATGTCACCACTTTAATGATCTAAATGTTAGTATCGTATTTTAAAAATGCTGTTTCATTGAATTCTAACTGATTATATGAATATATGAACGTGAATATAAAGATATTTTGAGAAAAAAAATGATAATATCTTAACACAGCAATGTGCTTTCAAAATTTGTATATATTTAGGTCCGAGTGGGAGCATCTCTGAAGTTGAGTCCGAGTGGGAGCATTTTTCATTTTTATTAAAAGAATTAAGAAAAACTGACTTCTGAAAAAGAAGTATTTGAAACTAATATAGAATAATGGGTAAACATGACTCGGTTTATGTTACGGTACGTTAAAAATAATTTTCAAGGTTTTCAACCTTATTTGATATATGTTTGGGAAAAGTCCGAAAGGGAGCATTCAGAGAAAAACACTTATCCCGTTTTCAGGCCTAAACCATGCAATAAATCTGAAAAAAAATACAATTATCTCAAGTACTATAGCCATTCGTTGGTGCGCTACATGATTTTTTAATACTCTTACGTTTTCTTATAATAAAATTGTATTTTACCTTCGAGTCGACGAAAAAATGGTCCAAGTGGGAGCATTCAGCAGGTGCGCGATGACGTAGTATCCTACCATTGTTTCTGGTCCTTCGGGATTGTTGCTCAGGCTCTTTTACGTGTTGACAATTGAGTATCACTCTTGAAAGCTGGTGCTAGGAAATGTGAAAAATGTTGCACTTTTTATTATTCGTCCGGTACATACATTATTAAGATACTTATTTTGTTCTTAAGATGTTGAAGGCCTTTTAGTACTCCTTTTCTTAACAGATCTATAAAATTTAATTTAGATAACGCTGGTGAAAGATACACTTCACAGGAACAAAATAGTGATCACTCTAAATATGATTCTTGACCTTTAAATACGCAAAATCCTATTTAAGAAATGCAATGAACTATTGATAAATATAAAGTAGGCAAATAATTTGGTGTAGATATCGTTCTTGTGGATATAAGTAATATATAAGGAATTATACCGTCAGAGTTGGGAAGAAATCCTAAATCGAGTACTGCTGATCGACGAAATCCACTATTATACCGTGGTATTGCCTTATTTTAATTTTTTTAATAATATATATATATATTGCAACATTAAATTTGAGTATTTATACACCTTCTGAGTAAACTGAAATCTTAGTCGGTGAGCAGAAAAAGATAAGGAAACATAGATGTACGGATTAAGTTGCCGTCCCAAAAACTTTAACGTTGATCATAACTTCATTACTTCTTAGTTTATTGTCTTCATACTTGGCCACCACAACCCTTGGGACAAGTATGACGACCAATGCAGACCAAACTTATCTTGACTTTCATCCATAAATGACATTGACCTACAAATGCAAAAAATCTAAATTTTGCTTGATTTTTACTAACTTTTGCTATGTTTCGCTATAATTTTGTTATTTCAAAACAGATTGTCTTCATTCTTAAACAGAATAATCTTCCAGGATAGCCCTACAAGATAACTAGACACACCTTGTCCTTCACTTATAAATGACCTTTAAGATAAAATTATTTATTTATTTTTTGCTGCAACTGGCTTTAACTTTGTTGTCAATGAATGGGTTGACTTCTTATTATGACACAACAGGTACTTCTTTGCTACTAATGACCATTGACTTCCATAGCATCCAGTGACTCCAAATAGCAACCATTGACTTTCTCTAGCAGCCATTGACTTTCCATAGCAACCATTGACTTTCCATAAGAACCACTGCCTTTCCAGAGAACCAGATGACTCCCATAGAAACCGTTTGCTTTTCTATATAACCACTACCTCCGAAGAGCGATTGATCTAATAGAAGGGATTGACTTTCCATAGCAAAATGTAAATTTCCCTAGCAACCAGTGACTTCCATAGCAGCCATTGGCATTTCATAATAAACTGTAAATTTCGATAATAAACATTAACTTTCAAAAGCAATCATTGACTTTCCATAAGAATCATTGACTTTCCATAGCAACTAATGACTCCCATAGCGACCGTTTGCTTTTCATAAAACAGTTACCTCCATAGCAAATATAAATTTTCCATAGCAACTAGTAAATCTGCTACTGAATTTTTATAGCCATCATTGACTTCCAAGGAAACCACTGATTTAGTATAGCATCCAGTGACTTCTTTAGTAAGTTTTGTTTTCCCTTAACAATAACAACCAGTACTGTTTTTACACATGCACTATTTCAGATACAAAATGAACTTTGTACAATCAATTTAAGATTTAGATTTTATACTGGTGGAGGAAGACCTCTGATGCCCTGCCGTGCATTATTTCAGGCACGAACGGGCACATGAGAAGAACCACCGACGTTCTATAAACTAGCTGGATAGCTTCCACATATGTAAGAATCCAAAGTCACTGACATGATTCGGACACATAGTGATGAGGGGCAATCGTGTATTTGTAATTCTGAGGTAAAATATGAAAAAGACATGTTCTTATTTGTAACGTAACACTTGATGAAAAAAAAAACTGATTATCTCTGCATTTATTGCATTCAGTTTTTGTTTGTTCCAAATAAGTCGTCTGAATCTAACCATAAACTTAATTGATTGAAAAGATGTTAACGTAAATATTTAGAACATATTTATTCATGGTATTTATCTTTAGAAATTAAATACATGCTGTCAGTTTACATAAAATACAAGATAAGAGAATCTGTAACAATATGCCTTTAAAGTTACAATTGATATTGTTGTTATTGTTGTTATTGGTTTATTTAGATTCTACTGATTATACTCTAGAAGATATATTGATAAATTTCTGGACTATAGGAACGCCTCCTTACTAGTGATTGGCTTATTGATTTCTGCGTTGATATTATCGATGTACAATTTTCCTTTCGGGGAGAAGCGATAGAGAAATGGATTAGAATAGATCATAAAAATAAATGACCTGGGTTGTTGTCGTAGCTAGGGAAATAAACTTAGAAATGACTTTGTAGTTGTTGTTTAACTCCCACCCTGTTACATTTCCTATTCTAGTCCTATAATAAATTACCTGTTTCATATTGAATATGTTTTGCACTACAATTTTATAATGCAAGTTATCCAATTGTTAAAGGTGAAGCTGACTGCCCCTACATTACTTTAAAAAAATGCGTCAAAAACAAAACTTAATCTGTTTGCTATTTTTTTTTATTTTCTAACATAACCGTTACCATAGATGGTCTTGCTATTGAAAATGAAAATAATTTGTTCAATGCTATCTAAGGTTTATCTAGACTTATTACTTCAACAATTTACGTAAGTTGTAGAAGAAGCAACTGAAAAAACACAATACATCATACTGATTGTTCATTATAAAATCAAATGTGTAAAACTGAGCAATGTGGGATTAAAATGAAATAATTTCACAAACTTAAAAAAGAAATGCAGTATTTATGAATTATGAGATAAATTAATAATGAAGAAAGTTTATAAGATAGTGAGTGACGCCACGTCATACAATGTTTAGAAATAGTATAATCAAGTACACTATATACAACTAGAACTATCACTAAATGTGATTAATACCCCCACAAGTCTGCTTCGGAAATGAGGATGTTACTAGTAACAGAATACCTTGTAAAAGAATTGAAACATAGAGTTATGGTTGTGGGCAATTAAAGATAATTGTGGTTCATGTATGTTGCATTTCCTTTCAATGTGGTTGGCCATTGATGAAGTTTAATTGAATTACTCTGTAATAAGTCCAG